TTTTCAAACAAATATCTTTACGATATCATAATGATATCATTTGCAAATCGATATCGCCACGATATTTATTTAACATCATTATTATATCAATTCGGTATTGTTTAAAAATTCAAGGTTTCTGTAAAGAATCTCTGTGAATTTTAATTAAGATTCAACTAAACTAATCATAATATTAAAAGTTTGCATTGCTAAAAAGTTTTTTGAAATAGATATATATGAAGGATAAAGATCACTAAGAGTCTCGATATGATATTTCCACAAATGTAAAAAAAATATGTGGTCATAGCCATTTCGATCCTCTTATGATGTGTAATGTTTCGATTAAGGTAACTATCTTAATATTAATTAATAAACCAAATTTCAAAATAAGTAATAAAAGATTTTGAAATTAACACATTATACATACCCATAACAAAGAGATATACAAATAATTCTCAAAATTCAGATGATAATTCTTTTTCTCCATCTAATACTTGTGCCAAATTTTTTGAGCAAAATACTCTATACGCAGCATTATTATCCTGTCGGTCTAATTTTATTACATCTCGCTTATACATAATGCTATTTTCTTGAAAGATAACGTTAATAGCTGATCAAATCGGACTGTAGAATTACCAAATGTAAGTAAACGAGCACCAGACATGGCTGCATTTCTTGCTATTTTTTTCCCATGTTTAGGATCTTGAATATGAACTATAAGTCTAACTTTGGGAAATACAGGACAGTTGAAATTGATTCCATATTGGAAATTTTGATGTTGAACACAATTTCTTGTTCTAATTAATTGTAGTAAATTTTATGCCTGAAATTCAGCAGCAGCACCATCTGATCTGATAGAAATTATAGGTAATTCAAAATCTGCTACGATATCAATAAGTTTCTGATAAAGTGCTAAAATTTTTTTAGCACTGTCATTTCCAGTTAGAATTAATGCCACAATTACAGGTGGAAACTTTGGAAGAGGTACCTAATAATTTTAAATCAATTAAATTTAATAATAGTAATTAAAATTCGATCAATTCTTTTAATAAATTTACCTGAAGAACATAAATTCTAACATATTTTGCAATTGCATTTCTTTGCTTGATATCAGAAATCTTTTTATATATATCATCATAGGTTCAATTTTGCAATCATTTCAGTCTAGAGTTGATTCAACAATACAACCTAAATTTGTTGAATATTGCAACCTGAACTTTAAAATTGTACAATCTGTTATGGCTACAACAGGACCTTTATAGTGTAATGAATCTAAGAGCCTTTTAAATCAAGCAACATTCTCATAACAAAGGTCGGGATTATTAATAGTATCTTCAGAAATACTTCTATGATACCTATATACATATAAAAAATTATGCTTTATTATAGATATAATCATACTAATTAGATAATTTTTAATTGTATTATCATTACCTTATTGTACGAATTGTCATACCAGCTAAATTCTGACGGTGAGATCCCCCTATTCCCTCTGTCATCAATTTACAGAGTTGCCACATTGAATAGGCATTCTCATGGTCGAATGAACGAATAAACAGACGAACGAACAATTTAAACAAACAAACAAGCAAATAATCAACGATATAATTAACAAACAACATAATTAACGAACAACATACAACAACATATAACAACAATATGCAACAATAATATTCTTAGTTCACAACATAAATAACATTAGTAATATAAAACTTCAAACGATATAAAATAAAATTTAACTTCTCTAAATTTTCCTCAATTTTTATCCACTTTACCTTTAATTTCAAACTTCGATAGCTCTCACCACGAAATATTCTATTTATTTCAACTTTAAAATTTCGATAATTCTCTTTACAAAAGTGTATATTTAATTTATTTCGTAATTATCATTTTATTCAATTAAAATTAATTAAGCAAACGTTAACTAAAGTTTAGGGTGAACCTATTACCTTTACTTAATATTATACTTTATTAACAAATAATTAAATTCAACTATTCTAAATTACATTGTGGATGAGATGATCAATAAATTCTATGATGATATGGAATTACTTTGAATTCCGCTCTCTATTTAAACAAACTTTCTTATATTTTCTATTTTAATATATACTATCTTTTATGTTCTTTTTATATGTTATCTTTCTAATATGCTATCTTTTTAATATACTATTTTTAATACGCTATCTTTTAATATAATATGCTATCCTTTAATATGTTATCTTTCTATTTTTAATATGTTATACATCATCTTTTATGTTCCATCTTTTTAATATACTATCTTTCAATATGTTTCTATTTTTAATATATTATGTTCCATCTTTTGTGGCTTATATCTTTTCGTATTATCTTTTATATTATCTTTTATATTATATTATATTATCTTTTTATATTATCTTTTATATTATTGTTTTTATGTATTTTCATTATGCGTGTTCCTTTAGTCCACTATCCCTCCATTTTATATGATTTATCTTTTGTGGCTTATAATTATTCCTTCTAATTTTTCTTATTGTTGAACTCAATAAACTGGTTGCTAAGCCACAATTGATCGACTTCCTACTCAATCTATTGGTTCCTTGTTAATTATTCAATAAATATTACATCATGTAGATCATTACTCTTCCTAAATGTTTATCCTGTTCGTCTAATCATTTATCCATTTACGCTGATTTAAGATTAGTTCGTTCGTATTTAGTACTTGAAGTTCACATTTGTCCATTTGGTATATTATTTGTTTACGCTTAATATTTGACCGTTTACAACAGAACAAATTCAATGCTTTTAAACTAATACTTTCCAATACTATAAGAAAATTTAAAAATTCAGTTGAATATTTGAGATTTCGTAAGCCTTTTCCTTGTTCTTTACGTTCTGCAGCTTGTAACATAATATAGCAAAGTCCTTTAAATACTGGTTTTTGGTCAAATGCACCTTGAACGGCTTTATTAGCAAGTTCCATCCAAAATCTTACAGATGAATCCTCAGTATCAAGAAATTCATTTAATTGTTTAATATGACTATTTTTTAGATATGTTAATAACAGATTATTTTCATAATAAAATTTCGGTGTAAATTTAGTATTTTTTAGATCGGAAACAGCACAATGCAAACGATTCAAAAAAGTTGAATTAAAATAAATATGGGAACATGATGAACAGGGTTGCTCATAAGTTTTTTTCTCACAATTAACTGATCGAATACACATTTCTAAATTAAACGTCAGTATTAATAAATTAATAAATGATTATCATACGTTAACTAATTTTTCTTACCAAGACGATTAATAAACTATTCTGATTCAACAATCATTTGCTGATTAAAATCAGTTATTTCTTTTTTATTAAGCTTTTTAGAATTAAATAGTAGTTTATTTGGAAACTTATTTGGAAACATTTCTTTTCCAATTAATATAAGTAACAATTTGTTCAGAATGAAGTCCAGGATATGGTTTATTTGAAAATGATAGCGGTGGTGGTGGTGGTGGTGGTGGTGGTGATGAATCTTCTAAGTCTTCTTTTACTTTTTTTAGAATTAGGTAAGACAGGAAACAAATCAGGTAAACCAAGTTGTCATTTTTGGTTATTTATTTTACATCTTGAGTTTCTAGAATATTCGTTAAGCCTTTTTTCATCATAGTCGTTATCAAGAATAACCTTTTGTCCACATTTGCAAAATACTTCACGTTTATTAATAATAGCTGCACAAAATTTATTATCACTTAAGCGAGTTTGAGTATGCTTTCACTTCAACATTATAAAAGTAAAGTTTTAAAAGTTTTTGTAAAAAAAACACGTATTTAGTTTCAAAATATATACTTTTGATCATGAGAAAAGGTGAAAAAAATACCAAAACAGGATAAATTTGCTAAAACAAATAATATGACTATGAGAAAATCCATTTAATTCACTAAAACGTATAATATGACTATGAGAAAATTCATATAATTCGCCAAAACTAAAAATTATGACTACCCCTTAAATTTCATGAATTCGCCAAAACTTAAATTTGGACATTAAATTAAATTTGAGTTAATTCGCTAAAACTTAAATGTAACCTGTATATGTATTTTCTGGAGTCCTTTTTGAAACCTTTTTTTAATTAAAAAAATATTTATTTTTTTTTCTGTTTTTTTTAGGTACCATTGTCTTTGATCTTAGACTTGGATTTGGATCAGTGAGTTTTGAAAAGTTTCATTTCGAAACTTTTTTTACCGAATTCTAGAAAAGTTTCGAAAGTATAAGAATATAATAATATTAGTATCATAATTTATGTATAGAATTATTAAATAATGTACTGATTTTTGTAATTTAATATTTTAATGTAAATTCTAAATAATTTTAAATAAAAATGCATTGTTATAAATTAATCAAAAAGTAATCAATCAGTACACTGACATTTAATCAAAAAGTTATCAATCGGTATACTAATATACCAAATAGTAAATATCTTATTAGTACTGTAACTATTAATACCTGATTGCTTTCTATTGAATATCTTGATTGATACTTGAGTATTCTTCTTTTGCACCATCTTTTGGCAGCAATCGGGTTTACTGATTAATAAAAATTTTTTAAAAAATAGGAACCAATCGGGTGGAATTTGGTTACCTGATTAGTCTCTGATTTGACATCATTCGACTAGTGAAATAAACCAACAATAAATTTTATACTTAGATAATTAGTTAAACTTGATATTTACAGCTTTTTATTAACTTTTTATCTGATATTAAAGAAAGAAAAGAAAAGGTTACGAAAGTTACAAAATTACTGTTGTTAAACGTAAATAAATAAATAAATCAATGAGGCTAATGTGACATAAAATTACGTGGAAATAGAAAAATGATGGTGATACTGGGGAAGATATCAAAAAAAGCTCAGGCATGTGTAAGGTTGCTTGCCAAAACCTGTTTGGCCTAATGCCGAAAGGTAAAACCTCTTATATAGTGCCGAAACGCCGAAATGCCAAAACTGCGAAACCTGTCAAAATTGCGAAACTGCCGAAACATGCCGAAAATTCTATAATAGGTTTCTCTGTAGTTTCGGCATAGTTGATCATAAGATTTGCATATAGTTACGCCAAGTTACACCAATTAATAATATAATTTAGATGATCAAATAATCTACAAATAAAAGATTAAACTTCAATATTTTACCGTCGTCTTAGTTCTTTTAAGTTTTATCTAGTGTTAGAATTTTCATTTCTAACTATCATATTAATATTATGATATTACACGTTTTTACAGTTTTTTTTTAAGGGGCTTATATTCATTAAAGGAAAATGCGTAACATGCATTTAATAAATCCAATTCTGTCATCTCTTTTAACACTGAACTAAAGTTTCTTTTACTTTCTTCCGTTTTCTTAATAATAAAATTAATAATAAACTGTTTCAAATGACTGATCACATAGAAGATTCACCCATTAAAAAGAAAAATAGAGGAGATCAGCCACCTAATAGCATTTGGGAAGATATTAATAAAGGAGAAGCTGTTGGTTCTGGCAAATTTGCCGCACTGTAAGAATACATGGTCACGCGGTAAAGTTTCAAAGCTCAAAGAGCATCTTTCAAACCATTGTCCAGATGCGCCAGCAGCAGTTGTTAAAAGGTATATGACTAAAGTAATGGAACGGCAAGATAAGTCCAAGTCATCCAAAAAAAGAAAATACTCTGAAGGTCAAAGTAACATGGATGATTACCATGATTCAACAGAGCTTAACGAACAAAGATGTACACGAATTAATCGTGCATTAGTTAAATTTTTTATTGCGTGCGGAATTGCGTTTAGAGTAGTGGAACATCCTTTTTTCATCAATTTTATAAAAGAGCTTAATGCTGGGTACAATACACCAACAAGGGAAGTATTAGTAAATCAACTACTTGAACGTGAATTAGCTCAAGTGAACTTCAAAATTAATTCTGAGCTTGAAAAGGAAACGAATTTAACGTTAAGTTTGTTAAATTAAATAGGCTATCATACGTCATTTTTATTTAATCTTACTTACTATATAATATTAATTTATAATTTAGCCTTTGATGGTTGGACGTCTGGTACACATCGTTCAATTTGGAACTTCATTGTAATGACTCCGTCGCGTAAAGAATATCTTTATCAACTTTCTGATTTGTCTGAAAATTAGCACACTGCAGAATATCTAGTTACGGTAATTGAAAAGGTTATAGAAGGTATTGGAGAAGATCGAATATGTGCTGTAGTTTCCGATAATGCGGCCAATGTTCGTAATGCAAGAAAAATTATACATGAGAATCATCCAAAGATTGAGAATGTGCGATGCGTTGCACATTCTATCAATTTAATTGCATGCGACATCGTCAAGGAGAAGTTTGGGGAACATTTATTAAAACGTGTTAATATTTTGACAACCTTTTTTAGAAGTTCTCATCAGGATAATGCAAAACTTGCTCAAATAATTAAAGAAAAAGGAATTAGTGGAGGAGGATTAAAATTATATTGCAAGACACGCTGGACTACTGCTAGTGAATCCATAAATTCAATAATAAATTTAGAATCAGCACTAGAAGAAATGGCCAGCGATCACGATAAAGTGCTAACAAATGATAAAATAAAACCGATTATTCAATCGAGAAATTTTTTTTCAAATTTAAGAGTTCTTGGATTTGTTCTGGATCCTCTAAGAAAAGCGGTACTTTCATTAGAATCGAGAAGAACTACACTTGCAGATTGTTTCCTGAGCTTGGCAAGACTTGCAGCTACATTAAAAAAGTTACCCAAATCATTAAATCCTGCATTCAGAAGTCATTGTATCAAAGTAATAAATGAAAGATTTGATGAGTTCGATGATGATAAGTATATTACTTGTTTTTTTATGGATCCCAGATTTAGAAACGCGCCACTTAAAAAATGCGCCCTCATGAAAATTATCAAATGTGCAGCTTCAATCGGGAAAAATTTAGGTTTTGACCGTTACGAAGCTGAAACTTTATGTGATCAAATACAGAAATATATTAATGAGCAAGAGCCATTTGACCTCGATATCGGTTTTGCTAAAGATAATCCCGTGAATTGGTGGAAATATATTAATACCGAACCAGAACCAGATGCCCTGCCAAGAATTGCAAGTTATCTATTTGCAATATGTCCTAACTCAGCAACTTGCGAACGTGAATTTTCGACTTTAGGATGGCTATTTCATAAACGTCACTTAAATCTTAATGTGGATAAACTAGAATCCATGTGCAAATTAATTTTGTATTGGAAATCCAATTCAAAAACTGAACTTGGATTTTATGGAATTGATCAAAAAAAGAATACTCGTCTTAGTGATGATGAGATCAATATACGTATTGCAGAAGCTTTTGCAGAAGATGACGATGAGGAATATAATGAGGAGCAAGCTTCTACTCAGAGATTAACTACAAGCGGCGAAACAATACCC